AATCTTACATGTCTTGGAACGGTTATCCTAACAGCGTTAAAAACCTTTTGTTTAAAAAACTAAAATCCAAATACAATGATTCTATTTCCATTGACAACCGCTCTTCTATTGATGATAATCTACCTAAAATCTGGGTTCTTATTCCTTTTCTTGGCATGCGTTGCGATTTCCTCTTAAAATCCTGTTTTAAGAAAATACAAAAACATCTTTCTCAACCGGTGAAATGTATTACTATTTATGACACTAAAAAACTGTCCTATTTTGTCTTTAACAAGGACAAACTTCCTTAACTTACTCTCAGTAATCTTATATACGAAATAACTTTCCCTGGCTGTGGTAAAACCTACATCGGAATGACACAAAGATGCCTGTCTGTACGGCTCAGAGAACATGCAACCAGACTCTCTTCTATTGCAGTTGGCCAGCATTTCTCTGAGTGCGAAAACGCTCAATTCCTGGCGACTCTACAAAACCAGTTCTCACAACTCAATGATCTCCCTCCACCTCCCAGAACTCCTCTCCTATGGAAAACCTTGTATTCAAGAACTATAAAATACTTCACTCAACAAAATCTAATAACTACCACATTCTTGCTTTTCTTGAAGCACTACTCATCAAACATAACAAACCTTTTCTCAACACGGGTCTTCAGGCTAGCAAAGAATTCCAACTCTTTTCTTAACTTATAACACACTCATTCTACCAGTCGGGTCGGCAGTTTTAATTCTTCCTTTGTAATACTACACCTCTTCCAACTCTGCCTTTGTAAATATCACACTATTTACTTTCTATTGCTTATTTCCGTTTACTTATTTCATGCGTTGTAAATATATATGTGTATGTAAGGTTTTAAATATCATTCTGTCTGAGGATGACTTTGAAATAAAGTCGAAAATTTACAGTTTACTTCTCGTCTTGTTTTGATTCATATTTTGCAATCTCAAGATGTCTTGCTTCTTAGGAATTTGTTTTATATTATACTTCTTTAAATTGTCGGCTTTTTAGTTGTTATAGAGTTCACTGCTTTTGACATCATTAATCCATGACATCATTATAGCACATGGCGTTTGACGTTATACATGACATTATAGCACGTGGCGAAGAGAGAGAAGAGTTCAATTTGCTAAGGCTATGAAAGGGTAAGGGTTTGTTAAAAAGTTTCCTTTGAAACTGCATTTAAACGTGTGTTTGTAAACCAAGCTCATTTTCAGTAATCGTCGTACAGGATGGTTGATCTTTCCTTAATCTGGTCATCGAAATGTCGATGTTTTCGACCTATACGATGAAACACGAACTTGGCAATGTCGTGGTCAATGGTCGCACGAGTTGATTGACCGACTTATTTCTTCGTGCCACTTCCCTGCACTGTCGTAAATCTTGGCTATTTTTTTGCACTGAACCGTCTCACATCGAAATATGTCATTTATTCACTACAAATTCAAGAACAACCTCGATTACAAAACTCTTTCTTTCGACGGTTTGTCATTATCACTATGCGATTTGAAGCAGGCCATTCTATCGCAAAACAGAACAAAAGGCAGCGAAACCGACTTGGAAGTGACAAATGCTCAAACTAAACAAGGTATGGGATGTCTTCAAGTTTAAGATTTTATATATTTTCTCTGATTTGTTTGTTTTTATCATTTTCCATGTGTTAAATGATGTGTGATTTTGAAAGATTTCAAGTGTAATTATTTTTACAACCGTCCTCCTTCATTGCTTGTTGATTATATGAGAAAATTCGTTTGTGTAGCTCGTAGAACATGAAATTTATAAAAGATCTCTTATTACAGCTTAGCCAATATAGCATAGTAAAAACCGTAAGATCCAAAATAGACAATCACACTTCCTGGATAAGTAACCTTCGCTCCCCCATCTGAGAAGTCGTAAGTCGTGAGATGTTAAGGATACAACTTGCTGAATTTCTTACTAGAGTTTTATATTAGTTGGTAGGGGATCGATATTTTGATGATATCAAATGTTAATTTCATTTCAACGTAGGAATTTGTTTTTTGAATCTGTTATGACATGTTATGGAAGTATATCAAATTTTAAGGTTTGCTTCTCAAAACTTATGTACTGAAGGCTCTTTATACGGTGTGTAAGTGAGGTTAGAGAAACATGGTTAAACTGTGTTCATGTTGAGATATTTAAAAACTGAACAAGTGAAATTCGATTGCAATTTTACTGATCTATTGTGTATAAAGAAAGAATTAGAAAATCTATGTTTTCCTTGCCAGCATCATATTGTTCCAAGAGCATTTGATGTGACTTGAATTAACAGTTTAAGAATCAGTTTTTTCGAAGATTTTTAATTAATCTATGATAAAACTAGACTTATAGCAATGGAGGTTTGGTCACTTATGTTGTCTTTGGTAATTTCTCTGTTGTCTACTTTTCGCGTGATGACTGTCTCAACTCTTAGTGTATGACATGTTGAATATGTTTGCTAAATTTTAAAATCCTGGGGCCGGTTGTATAAAGCTCTTAACCACTTTTTAACTACACTTTTTGCAGTTAAAAAGTAGTTAAATTCAACCACGCGGTTAAGTCGGTTGTATAGAAAAGTAATTAGCGCTAATTGCAGTTAACAGGTAGTTAAAGTTAACTATGGTATGGAACATAGTTAACTTTTCAAAACATAGTTAAATATGGCGGCTTAACTTCTCAAAGACAATTATGGGCGAGATGTTGTTGATCAACAAGGTTTTACCTTGAGTTTTTAATCACATATGTATCTTCCATGGCAATGGCTTTTAGAATAAAAGCTTTATGGACGGTGTACTACATTCCTCATTGCTGTAAACATCCTAAGTTTTGCTGACGAAGAACAGCCAACAATTTATCCGCGTAACAAATCCCTTTTACACAAGAGCAATTGCATTTTGTATTGTCCTTTTTTGAGTCCGGTAGTTCTTTCAACTCATAAGCGAGACTCTCAATTGAGATAGAGCCACTTCTTTAAGATTAGTGCACATAACTCGCTGACATTGTCTTACATTCACGTACAATTTGTTCAATGATAAAAAAAAGAAAAAAGAAAGAATGTTATTCGAGCAATGAATCCTATATCCTTGGATGTATCAAATATTCAAATTGCGGGTTTTTCCCTACGCATTTTGCTTGATTGAATATCATACGCATCACGTAAGCTCTTTGCTCTATGGAAAATAAGCTAGATTATGTTAAAACAAAGAGGTACTACAGTATAAATGTTGTTCTAAGTATACAATGATAATACATATAGATACATGAGCTTTACAACAGTTTTTATTCATGACTACTCTTTTGTGTATCGGCTGCATGAGATACAATGATGTTAGTTTTTTAAATACATAAAACATTTCATCAGCATGCATGGTGAAGGTCCATGTTGCTTGATATATATACATTATCCATTGCACATGGTTTATTACACAAGCAGAAAATATACATGACAGTCAATTAGTGGGTTTTATTCATATTTCATCAAGTATTTCTTATGTAAAAATTTTTATTTTTAATGTACATGCAATCTTGCCTGCCAATAAAGATCTAACTACTGTTTGATGATTTAAAAAATAAAAAAAAAATGAATAAAACTCCCAAGCTTTAGGCAAAAATAAGCTAATAAATCACAAAGGCATAAATAAAAGTTTCATAGCTAAGGCTCATTAACAAATATACCCAATAATTTTTATAACTCAGTTTTTTGCAAGGCAGAATTAAAAACAAAAAAAGATTTTGTGTATGGCTGTGATTATAACATGTCACAAGCAGAGAAAAGACAGTTGCTGGATTACATTGCTACTAACTATGATGACTCAATGAAATGTGTTCTAATAATAAAAAAGTCCATCACTGTGTGACTTATGTCTGTGCAAGCACATTTCTTTCAAGCATTTTACCCAGCTGTTATAAAGTGAAACGAAACAACCTTTTCCTTTGTTACCCTCAATCTCTCAGTTTTTAATTCTGTAAAAGCAAGGCCATTCAATTATTTAAATCCTTGCACAAAGAACACAATATGAATCACTTTGAGAACAGTTCATTGTTTCGTTGGCCCAAGTGCATTATATATAATTGGTTCATGAAATAAAGCAGTCCTTGCCGAGATTCATATCATTCATCCACATCGTACTGTATTACACAGAAGATAAGGGTCGATTTTCTTGTGAAAAGTCCAAAGTATATGCTACAATTTAATCCGGTTACCATGTCACCGTGAATCGTTTATTAAATTTTATTTTCGCATCATCAACATCCGTAAAAACGACAATAGTTTGCCATATTTTAAGATTTTTATATAAGCCAAGAGATTTTTCTTGATTTTGAAGTCATTTTATAGTTCACTTGCCCGCCATTACTATGCATGAATTGTTTACACTTATGTCATTTTACGTAAACAACACCCCACGCAATTTTCACAAAAGTTAACTACGCAGTTACTTAACTATCCGACAAACTACGTTTTGTGCAACGCAGTTAGGTCGAGCAGTTAAGTTACTACAGTTAAGGAGTTAACTACGGTAGTTATCGTTAACTATAGTTAAAGTTAACTACTTTTATACAACCGGCCCTGAATGACTATATAATTGTGCAATTATATTGTAATGCCTTGTTTATGTAATGATGATGAATTGCATTCCTGCCAGCTTTAAATATTTTCATGAAAACATGCAACATAATGTAATGTTTTGTGAACAGAAACTTTTAGTGACATTAGGTTCATATTAAATACTTTCCTGATTGTAAACATGGTTTTATAACTTAGTTTTGCATTGAGTCCATGTATTATATAATATACTTGTTATGAAAAAAGTGAGAACTTTTTGTATTTAATATGTGTTTGGTTATATATAAATGTAATGGAAAAGATTTAAATCTGTTATGATATCATGTGTATTTTATGGAAAATTGTGAAACAACAGAAACTAAAGTAGACTTGCAATTTTCTTAATGTGTTTAAAACTTTTGTGTTTACAGTATACACAGATAATGTCACTCAAATACCAAAAATGCTTCAGTGATAGTCCGTAGAACTCGTTCAGGACCAAAGCAAAAGGCAATGACTGCAGCGTATGTATTCATGATAGTAATTTTGTTGCAGATGTGCTTGGATTTTAAATTTGCTATTTAAATTCTTTCATTTTATCACAGAGAAAGACCACAGTCGACCGGAGAGGCATCTAAACCAGTACGTGATATGTTTTATTTTATAGTTAAATATTCTCACAGATATTGACTTGTAGTCTTTTGTAAGGTCCAGAAGTCTGTCTGCAACTTAGCCCCACCTACCCTCCCTTATTCATTTTTCTGCCTGCAATTATATAAGAAATACAATTCATGTCAATATTTGTGGGAATTCTGTTGATTTCTTTGTAACAAATGCTTTGTTGTACAAAGATTGTTCTTTTTTAATAAACATTTTATTTTCAAGTTTTCTATGTTTTGCTGCACCTTGTTGTGTGAGCAACTTGGTCAGAATAAATTGATTTTGCTTTTTGAGTGTTTGTGTGTATGTGTGTCTACATGCATATTTCATTGTTATGCAAACCCATTTCTTTGAAAACCACACACAAGATCTGGGGGTGTTGTATTAACAATATCTCACCAATTTGTCATGAGAATGGCTAAAATTACTTGGTGATCTTGTGCTTAAGGCTGCATTGCCAATGTATTTGAGGCTCCAAAAGTATTTCATCTTTAAATGCTAAAAGTTTGATTCTATCTTCTATTGTTGATTTTCGTCATTTTTTAAAAAAACACAGAATTTTCGGCTACACTGATTGTAATTTTGCACAGTTTTAAATGTTTCATATTGTACCATACCATGGTTTTTAATTTAGCAAATCCTTTTATTCTTGAAAGCAAACTTATAAGCCGAAAGTACAATGTGCAATAGCACTTACAAACAAAGGCACTTTTGGTTCTTGTCAGCCTGATTGCTGAAATTATTTGCTAAGATAACCCAGTAAGGTTGATGATTGCTGTTTGAAGTATTAGACAACAAAGTATCAGCATTATTTCACAGTTAAATGGCTAGAAGCCAGAGATTTTGTTTTGTTGGATCAATGTCTATGAACGAGAAACTGTCTTCTTAATGGTGTTGCTAAAAAATGACCCAAATTTTGTAATGTTTAGTATATTGAACCTCAATATACTTAACTGGAAAGCACTTTTGCCCTCATAAATTGGACCTACTTCCAACTTACATTGCTTTGCGTATTGGGATTGCTAAATTTGTGCAAGCTTCATTTTTTGTACTGGCCAAAATAATAATCATAAATTCAATGTCAAAGCTGTTTACTGTAAACTATCCGATAGTCGCTTCCATCAACTAAACGCCTCGTATCTCATAAATGCCTCATTCAAGCGTTGGTCAGTTTTAGACGTTTCTCTGTAATAAACGCGCCCTGTGTAATAGATGCTCCTTGTGACATTACTATTTTGATAATAATATTAAAATTAAGTGGTTAATTGGGCTCAGAAACTGCATTTAGTCTTAGAATTGTTATCATTTGTTGACATTAGACAACACTCTTTTAAACGCCTAGTATTTCTTAACGTCAACCCTAAAACTGCTAGAATTTTTAAGCGCCCCGGGCGTTTATTAGGTCATTTAAAGTGCTGAGTGTTAGCCAGCTTTGGCTTATGCACCTTCTTGTTTGATGGAGTTTTCCAAATCAAAACAGCCAGGGCTTTTTTCAATTACTAAAATACTTTTCACCACCTTTCAGTAATTATGCAAACTTTGATGCGTCGGTAAAAACGTCGTGAAAGTGATTTTAAAATGGCACATGAGTATCCATATATAAGCACTGTTTGTCATATACATGCAGGTTGATTAACTGTAAAGAATTTCCTATAATGAATTGTTATATACTTCTAACTTATGAGCTGTCGACGTCAAAATATAGAATTAGGGAAAGAGGTTTTTGAGGGTTACAGATGGTCTTCATGGTCAATAGTTAGGGATACTGAGATAATGTTTTCACCTCTCTGGTGTTAGCAGTGAGGTGAAAAAGTAATACTAGTATGAACATTGTAAACAACAGAAAAGCTTGGAGTATCCGTGCTGTTATATCTTATGCATTTATAAAATGTTGAGATATTAAAGTTATTTCTTGCGCGCCAGTTAGATAATTGCTCTTTGACTTGAAACTCTTTCTTCAAATCTGTAAAATTAGCAATAATTAGTGTTCTCTATATTGTACACTAAAACGTTGCACATAATTATTTGAGGTAATCGAGAACCATCATCCATAAAAGACACTATGAAACGATATAATTGAGTATCTGTACTATCTTCTGGTTAAGAAAATTACAATGATACAAATGGAAAAAGAAAATTTTAAATTCCTGCATGTCGATTGTCAACTGCATAAAACAACTGAATCTCTATGAAGGGATGCTTATTTGCAAACTTAATTAAATCATCAGATTAATCATCATGGGTAACGCATTTGTTGTTAAATATTGAGCAACTACAATCATCCTATTGATGATTAAATTATGTTTTTTAAGAATTCTTCTTTAGTATCTGTTCTGTTGGTTTACTTATTCGATAATTATTGCTTTAGAATTTGAAAAGATCTGCTGTTTATATGATTGTTGTTATTTTTAACATGAAGATGGGGCCTGGCTACCTTATTGACTTATATCGAGTCATACCGTCTTTTATCGTTGATGGCTCTCTTTAATTTCATGTTCTCTCAAGTTTCTTTTCTCTTGCCGCAAAATCCCTTACTAAGCGTTTGTGACAATCTCAATTTCAATAAGTTCGACTAATAATTCAAACTGATTTTCAATTCACCGTCTTGATGGTTTTTACCTCAAATGAAAGCACGCCCTTAAAAAAATGTGTGTCAAGCAAGGTGCATTGCGCGCTATTGTTTATGCTTACATCGTTATTTTTAAGTTTGCGGTACACTGAATTCAGTTTCGTCACTACCTCCTCTAATTTATCTGGAAATAAGCAAAAAAGCATTCATTAAAAACTCTTCTACATTAATTATTATCGTTGCATGGACTGCAACAACGAAATCTGCCATTTTCTCCACACACAAAATGGCCATGGCGCTCTGCTTAACGTGCAATGCACGGTTGACACACATTCTTCAAATTATCAACATGTCATTCGTACATTGAACGCAAGCTATTATTACAAACTTCTAGAACGGGAAAGGTCGAAAACATGTGAAATTAAATTTTTGATACGTTTGAGGATATATAGGAGTGTTGTCTTTTTTGAAAATCAAGGTCTTGATGAGACCAATCACGGATAGACAGAAGGGTACATACTAACAAATAATTTAAAGCAACGTACGTTGATGAAAACTGCTAAAGAAAAATTAGACGTTAATTTCGTCGCTCGGTTATAATAACTTACTCATATCTCACTGCTAAAGTTGTACGGTTCTGCTACGGTGATTATATCCTTTTCCATTAAATTTGTTGACAGTTGACGTGCAGGACTGCACGTGTTTTGCTTTAGTCATGATTTGTATTGTGAATAAAGAATATGTAGAAAAAACAACGTTTCAGAAACCATTCAGTGTAAGAGGCGGTCAAGCAATTAGAACAGTTATATTTTGATAAAATGAAAATTAAATGTACTTCGATAATAAGCGTGCAAATCAGTATCCTGTTTTACCGGGTCTTGAGAAATCTTAATAGTCGCCATTCTATAACGGTTATACCGGTTTCTAGGCGCAAAGCAGGCTGGAAGTAAACAAAAGCCAGAGTAATACATATGACTTACAAATACCCCTACGGAGTATCCGTGAGTCAATTAGTTAAGAGTTGGTTTACTTTGACAATATTCAAGAGCATTGATAAATGGCTTGAATAATGGCAAAAACTTTTCTAAAAAATTGTTGACGTTAACATTCGCAACCAAACCTATTAATTCTTCGTAAGAAAAAATGGTAGTAGTTCGACAGCCTTTTGGGAAACTGTTTATGGTAGATTGAAAATAAGTGTTGTTTAGATGTTCCATGGTACAGATAAGCAGTACTTACACCACACTGTTGTTACTCAGAACAACATTAGATAATAAACGATTTAGCTTAGCCTAGGTTGCAATAATTTCACACGCTTTAATAACACAATTAGTGTGTTTTTCTTTTATTTAGGGAAACATCATTATGAACATTATTCAATTTCGTTTGTCTTCCGTTACAGTTGCACTGTCACTCTAATGTTGTTTAAGTTTTTTATGTAGTTGGTAAACCCCTCCAATCAGCAATTTTTACTGATTTTCACTATTTTAACAAATTCTAAAACATAGGAATTTCCGGATTTCTACATCCTGAAAAGGCTGACCAATTTTTCTATTCCGCATTATTATAAATTGATTGAAAGTCTTTACGAAGGGTTGACCATCTTCGATTGTGCACAATTCTCGTGCCTTTTTAATTGCATTTTTGTACTTGCAAACATACTTATTGTTCATTCACTTTGAGAAGACCGAGAGCTCAGACGACCCACCAGTTGTGCCATTGAGCAAGCTTAACAAGGTTAGTGGGTTTACTGTAAAGAAAGCGACTCCACCTATACGCGCTGGTTCGTCATTGGTAGTTTTAGTTCATTGTGCAAAAGAAAATTGCTAAGAAAATTGTTCTCGACATAGAGTATTACTTACATGCAAGTCGTAAAGGAAGGGAGCAGTGACTATGCAAGTATGGTCGTGCTTGATAAATTTTGATGAGGCTACGTCGAAATATTTACATAACAACTAAAAGGCTGGCCACGCCACTGCGAAGGAGACTTGTATTGTAAACAATAGCAATAAGAGTTGCATATTTAAGATTACAACTCACTCCTTCTCAGTGAGCAAAGTCAATTAACTTACAACATTTAGTTTTACCTTTATTAGTATCATACAACTTCATTTTCAATTTGAGAAGGAAGCTTATTTGCAGGCTTTCCTTTATTAATTTCCTTCACGAGTTTCCTTGACCATTGTTCTCGCTTGTTTGTTTCCCATGTTGTGCCATTGTATTGTCCCTTAGTAAAAGTCTGGTATTGTTTTTCGATCACATGTGTGCATTTGGCATTGAGACTTTAAACCTTGTTGGATTTTTCTTATATTCATGTACTTGTGTGTGTGCTTCTACAGGTCGCAGATTTGGCGTCAGCAAATGCGTCCGAAGAAGACAAGATTGCTGCGATGATGAATCAAGCTGGAGAAGACTGGGATCCATCATCGTACGTTCTTTTTTTTTAAAATGTCATAATGAAGTTTTCGTAGTAATGGAGCATATTTGTTTCCCATAACGAATTCTGCTTACGAGAACAACACGAATTCCTCGTTTACTATCCTATGTTGATGTGGTGTAGAAATAGGTCTGTTAAACTGCGACGGGCTATTGGTTGCTCATTAAGGCCATTGGAACTGTTTTCATGACATAACCGGGACGTTGCAATGTTTTTAGCGAGTTTTGCAAAATTAAAACGACCATTGTATTTATGATCAAACCAACATTTACACTTCGTTAATGCTTATATACAGGGTGTTTGAAAAATAGACAGCTAGGAAAATGTTAGTAAATTGACTACCGCGTATTGTTTACAAAACACCTTTTGTTGAAATAAGTAGTTGGACTTCCTATGGTTCATCTGACTGTAAATTTCTCGTCAAAAAAATAACGATTTTTCGAATTGGCCTGCGCCAAAATCAAAATTTCTATTTTTTGCCGACTAATCAACTTATTCATAACTTACGAACTGTCTCTATTTTATTATACTTCCTGTATGGTATACAAAATGGCTATATAGCTTGTTCACATTTGTGGTATTTTCTCTCCAATATGACCCAATTTAGTTAACAGCGATATTATTAATCGCTCTCATATTTAATTATAATGATATAATTATATAATTTTAATTAATCATAATATTTATTATAATTATATTCGATGTAATTATGAATATTTTTTCTATAGCTATGCAAAAGCAAAAGGTCGACATTTTAATCCAGCTGCCCGTCAACCTCCACCGCCACACTATATGTGCTTTCGATGTCGCAAACCTGGACACTGGATTCAAAACTGTCCCAAGAATAACGTGAGTTTATCATGTTTTGTTCATGATTTATATTCATTTGTCATCATTGGGCAATGGCATTACATATTACATTGGATTAACCTAGCATATATAATTCTCCCCCCCCTAACCCACGTTCTGGTTATGCATAATTGTTGGTCAAGTAAACAGCTCAATAAATGTGGTCCTACTAGAAATAAGTCAAAAACAAAAGGTTAAAGCTTTCGTTATGACCTCATCAGCCTTCTTTAACAACCCATTGTTTAGTCTTGCACTGTTTAATTTACCCTCACTTGTGACGTTGCGGCTGCTGTCTATGACGTTACTCGCATTATTTTATATTGCTCTATTTCGTGCTGTATATTATGTTCCAATCTCTCTTGTTACGTTTAAGCTGTCGGTCGTGACGTTGTTAGTGTCAGTTCTTTACCGCTTGTTTTTCAATGTTGTATCTCGTTTACAGGATCCAAATTATGACCTAAAGATACGACGAACAACTGGAATCCCTAAGAGCTTTCTTCGTCCCGCGGAAAAGCCTGGTCAGAAAGGAGCTTTGTTGGTGCCTGAAACTGGAGAACATGGTGTACCGATTGTTGACCAGTAAGTTTCACTTTCAAGGGTTGCGTGTCTTTAATTTAGGGGCAGATTTTCTGGTGGTGAGGGGTGGGCATCCCCCAACCCCCTAAATTCTCTAGCATCAACTCCGAAAAGTTCTAAAGGGGTATCACGTACAATAGGGGTATCACGTACAATAGGGGTATCACGTACAGTATCACGTACAGTAGGGGTATCACGTACGATTAATATAGCAGTATTAGAGGCAATGGAATTGTACACTTATCATTTCAAAGCCAATTACGTCTTTTAAACTATCACCATTTGCAAGTGACAAATATCCTGCGGGTTTCATTCAAACATTAAAATTGAAACAAATTACTAAACGCGCTTTCATTTCAAATTTTTTAAAAAGCTAACAGCACTTTCATTACGCAAAGTTCACTTTTATGTAAGCCTAAAAATTCACAGTAGACCGGGGCCTTTGCAACTTTAGCTTGGATAACGATGCACCCCCTTGAATAATTTGCAGCTCTCCTGTAAAATTAACATTGATCCACCACTGCATTAATCCATTTATTAAAGCTTTGAAAACTAGTTGTTCTATCTAGCATTACTAGAAAGTAGTGTTATGACTCAATTTTTACGAAGATGCCAGACTGGAGTATACGAGAAGTAAAGTTTTAGCCTAACATTTTTTGAGATGAAGACACTCGAGTAGACTGGAGTAAAAAATGACTGGAATTTTATCATAAGCTATCTTCCGCATCTTGTAGCACTTGACAGAGTATTTAAAGACTCGTGTTTCAACATCAGTATATTTCTTCGATTGTGGCTTGATGTAGGAGGCGAGTTTGAATATTAAATCATTTTTGAACTTCAACTTTTCAAATTTATTTAGCATTGCGTACGAACAAGCGGCGTTAAAGAAACGACCGGCGGCCATTACCAGTCAAGCAGAAAACGAGAAACCCGTTCCACCCGAGTATTTCTGTCCATTGTGTAAGAATATTATGAAGAATGCAGTTGTTGTTCCTTGTTGTGGGGAGAGCTTCTGCGATAACTGTAAGTCACCTGTTTAAAGAGTGAGGAGTTTGGACATTTCAGACAAACGACAAATTCATAGTAAACATTTTTATAATAGAAAGAGATCTTTTGAGCAGCTTGCACCTTGTTATTTACAGTGTTGAATAAAAAATATAATACGAAATATGATATGATGAATTTATCATAAGTAACGTGTCATAGGCAGGCAACAGCCAACGTGCAACTGGAGACTACGTACTAAGTTTGATGGAATGTTGAAGAGGAAGTAAAGTAATATGATATTGTGTGGTTGCATTTGTTTGCTAAGATTTGGTTGTTAGTGTATATATGTTAAAAGCTTCTTGAGAAAGCGTCATAGATTTGTATTTTTATGCACTGTCAATACGTCAATACTGGAGATGATTCATTTCAACTGCATGGCAAAAATCAAGTACTTTTGCTTCATAAGTATATTGCACACCGTACTCAGTCATTGCCATTCGATTGTTTCTTGCTGAGATGATGTGTCTCGATGTTCACCAATGAATTAGAACTAAGAACTAGATTCTCCCGAAATTCTATTGTAATAAGTGTGACAAGCCGCCATCTTGAAAGGTAGCAAAATTTACAAGTACTTAGTATTTTTTCCTAAAATATTCTTCTGCATATGTTGTTGTCTTATTGTCTTCATTTGTCATGTTATGTTTAGGTATAGAGAAATATTTATTAGAAAACGATCACGTGTGTTTTTCATGTCACTCGGAAGAAGTATTTCCTGCCTCCATTGTTGTCAACAAGCATCTAAGACAGGTAAGCTCCCGACAGTTGGTGATAAACGTTTTTGGAATAGCGCCATAGACATAGTGTTTTTTAAATCTATTGGGGTTTTTTGTTTGCAAGAGGCTGCAGAAAGAAAAAAGTATCAGTATAAATAACTGTTTCTTAGAAATGCAGTGAAACAAAATGTTAGATTGTTCGTTTTTGGGCTTACTTCCTCGCCACATTGGAAAGAAAAACATTTATAAAGAAACCTTGCAGAAGATTGATAATGGGGGGAGGGGGCTGTTCTCATATTCATATATTTTTATGTTATAATTCGTTATCCCAATTAATTTCAATAGGAGCTAATAGAACATGCGTGTGTGAATCTCTCCCCAATTGTCGATATTTCTCGGTTCTTGATAAGTGTGATTTTTTCACTAAAGCCGTTTTGCTCTACTTTAGGCAATTATTAAGATCCAGTCTTCAGGATTTGAGGCGGGAGGATTGGGTACAACCATGTCTTTAACAAATGGACACAGAGATGAAGAGCAGGGAAAGTAAGTTTAATTCCATGTGTATTATGTAATATTACTAATATATTGATTCTATAATAAAGGATCACGGGCTCCTGCGTAAGGGCTCTTATTAAGTGGAACCAATAGGCATTTTTGTGACTAAAATATGAGCCAAGTGACGGTTGTTTGTTGTCAGTCATTATACAGGGTGTATCAAAAAACTGAACAGTTAACGCTGTTTCGCAAGCGCCAAAAATTGGTGGAAATAGCGATATTTGCCAAAACGTTTGGTGGAAATAGCGATATTTCCTAACTGTTGTTTTTTGTGGGTAGCGGCTGAGCATGCGCGGCTAACTACTATGCTACACTGTCCGTCGATTTCCTCGGAAATAGTCGGACTTGCGGGAGACGACAAACAATGCCGCTTTGTATGTTCGCTGTTTTCTCGGGAAAATATGAAAATATCGCATGTTGTTTCGATATCTGAACTATTACACATTGTTTTCTCATTATTCTTCTGAGCAAAATTTTTCGGCTAAGAATGATCAAACTTAGTTTGCTAAATTAAGTTAAATTACAATGTCGCCCCTTAAGTAACTCAACTTGAGATATTTTTGGTCTTATTTTATAGTATCTCGATTGCTCATTTGTGCTTTTTTATCGCAAGTTTACGGCAGTTTATTAATCTTGTAGTGCGTAGTGCGTAATATCATCATTATGACAATGAATCTGAGCGCACGATGTGAGTACAGTCACGTGACATGCAATCTAAGGAAGGGCGTTTGGTAAATGCAATATAGATTAGAATGGTACTTTTCACGACACTTGTCATATTCCGTAATTTCCATAGTCCATTGACGTTATGTCATGTCATGCAATGGTTTCCCTCGTTCAGTAATTCTTGATTCATAAACTCAAAACCAAAGTTTCAGCTAAAAATAACCCTGCCAAACAAAATACTGACAATGACCTTCTTAAAATTTTCATTATAATACCATATCTAGGCAAACCAGGTGAGTGTTTGGTTTTCAATCTTCTGCGTAAAATTCGCCGATAGCTATTATTTTCTTTGTGGAGTATTATCGCAACTGATTAAGTTCAAACTGCCGGCAACACAACATTCTCCACTCCATCGCTGCTCGTCGCTATTAATTCTATGCGCCGTGTCTAAAGGCGGTACACGTTTCTACGTCATGGCCAATGTCAAAAGTTCGCAAAAAATCGACAAAAAGAAAGAGTAGAAACAGTTTGAAAAGGCCAATTTTAATTCTGTTTTCAGAATTCTAATCAGAAAAGTAACTTTCATAAAAAAAGCCTCACAAAAAGCCTAGTGAAGCATTCGTTGCATAACTACTTTAAAAATCCCCATCAAACCTATACTTATATATCAAACAATAAAGACATCAATTTTCTGTCCCAAAAAGAACAAAATTCTCTAAAGCGAATGTTACATATGAATTTAAGTGTCCTGGTTGTGGTCAAACGTACACAGGCAAAACTGAACGAAACCTGATCACAAGACTTAACCCAACATGCTAATTACAATAATTCTAGTGCTATCTCGCAACATTTACTCATTTGTCCAGACGCCAGCTACATCTCACACCTCTTTTCACTTCCTGACGTTGACTCCGACCCTGATCTCACACGCGTACCATTTAATTCTTGTAATGTAATTCCAAGTAACACCAAAATCTTATATCGCTGTGATTATAATAATTCTTTTCATAAAAGCAATATGCCACAACTTAATAGTTGCCTGTAAGAAATTATCTCTATTTTAAATGTGAATATTCTCCCTAATTGTTCAGTCTTGCACCTCTCTCAATTGCGTAACTGTCACTTCTGCTTGTATATAATTATACAAACGTTTCACAGCTTGCTTTGTAAACTATTAGTCTGATGACGTCTTTGGAATAAAGACGAAATATTACACACACTGTGTCTACACTCTTGTATCATCTTGAATATCAAGAAGCGAGATGTCTGTATTCGGAATTTGTTTTATTTTGTTCTATTTAAAATTGTCTGCTTGTCCTGGTTATTTGACTATTCAGTGAGCACATATCACTTTATTAAATCTCTAACAAGTTAGGTGCAAGTATTATTTAATATGTAATATTAGAGTTGAGTTTATGTACCTAACTTTATGGCCACATACTTGATTGACTACCCACGTGTACGCACGTACCTGTTTTTTCATACGCGCTCCAGCGTGGCAGCACACTTTTCTTGACATGTCTCAACCCATTTCCCTGCGCCACCTATATACTGGTGAAATCTCGATTTTTGTCAGTCTGCCTGTTGACAATTCTGGTACGGGGAGGGGGATGATTTTACGGAATGAAGAGAAGCGCTTATTCTCAGTGAAGTAGAACCTTTCGGAACTTATGTATAAGTTTTAGTTTGATTCTAAAAAGTCTGAAATCCGAATAGATATGCGACCTAACCAACGTAATACAGTAGATACTAAATTTGCCCGAGTGATCACCGACATCAATTATAAGTACATACTTCGTTTGGCGAAAAACACATGAAATTGATTCAACGTGCCGTATTTAGCTTGTTCTGTTCACATTGTATTTCTTGCACTCTGATAACAGTGCTCCTCTGAGTTCAATGTTAAGCATGTATTTGTTTTCTTTTTGTGTGGATTTAACAGAGAAATAAACGCATGTTGCAAGTTTAGCAATGATTTTGTGGGGACTCGATCTTCCTTCAAAACTTAAACATTTAATGTCAGTCGCTGAGAATCATCGGGAATAAGGTCCGATCAAATGTTTTAAAGATTGTGGAAGTAAAACTACAGCTGTATAGTATTGTCTGTTTTTACGTGTGTTAACATGCGTTCGATTTATCCGTTGAGTGAACAATGTATCATACTCCTCAAATAGCATTTTAAAGGAAAATTTTTGGAGATATAAATATACATCTTATGCAAAAATTGTTTGCATTCAAAATGGTAATGATTTCTTCTTTAAAATCATTTGAAATGTGAAATGAAAAAAGACGTAAAGCTTGAGAGATATTTATGCTGGAAGTTGTCTGTCGGCTTTCAGAACGCGTGCTTTTGTTTCCACTGAGCACAGGAGCACTCACTCCACATAAGGTCAACAGTGCATTAAACTGCGTATGGCACGTTATTTAGATATAAAGAAAGCTCTAAACTTGTCGAAATATTCCTTGTCAATGCAATCTTAAAAGTTACAGGGGCTCGCATGTAAAATTACTCAATCATTCAAATAACTCAATCAAAACGTACCTATGAAACCATCTAGATTGCTGTACACCAAGATGTGGCACTGAGGGGTCCGACTGTACCTTGCAAATTTTTACTGACAAGGGGGAAAGGGCAGAACTTCCCCTTGCGATAGTAACATCTAGTTTAGAAATACTACAAAACAGCACCTATGTGTTTTTACCTGTAATCTTTACTAATGTTTATTATACTTGCAACTAGTCCATTACAACATTTTCAATCGCGTTGTTTACAAATTGCTTGGTTTACTATATTCTTGCTATCACTTGTAACGTAAGAAGTATTTGCTTTCAAGCAAGTTTTGAGTAATAATAATATGAAATATATGTTGTTATTTGAAAGAATAAACGGAGGAAGAACAGCTGGGTAAAATACATTACTTGGAATGAAATATAAATTGTTGTCTGTACTTTTAACCAGGGCATGTTCGATTGGCTTATCAATGATTTGGTCTGGTCTTTAAATATTTAATGACTTGGTGTGGTCTTTCGTCTTTATAATTTGGGAAAAAATGCAGAAGTTATGTCATTACCCAACTCATTAATTTTATAAGCTTGAATAAAAAATTGGATCAGACTCATATGCTTTATGAAAGTTTGTACAAACAGTAACATTTGTAGGAAACAAGACTGTTCTAAAACAACAGAATTGTTTTATAATGCCCAAACAGTAATTTCCCTTTCAACAAATGCCTCACCAAATAGAAGCCTATACCGTTCTGCATTAGAATTAAATTTTAACTATAATCACAGTTTCACAATCAATAAAGAAATCAACAACTTCACATTAAATTAATAGAATATTAAAGAACTACTGCATCCAACAAATATTTTAAGTCCATAATTTTACAGCATGAAAACCTTTGTTATCTGTCTGCATTAAGTTTTCATGCCTGGATCACATTGCCAAATATGTAGTAACTAAGCAAAATTTCATGACTGCAGTCCTTCAAAACTAAACTTTCTCCAACAATTGACAACACTGATTCAATGGTAGGCACAGTTTAAGTCAAAATAAGTTATATCAGCTCAATTGTCAATTCAAAATAATTTCTAGTTTTAGAATAGGATTATAAGGGATGAATTTCTAAAGAATATATTTTACCAGTTAAGTTGTCTCAACGGTTTCGAAATGTAAATGTAACCAGAAATTGAGCTGCAGTGATTTATTTTGACTCACCCTATACCTGCCAAAGCATTGATTCAGATCTGGACGTATGTGTAGTAACATGTTTTCCTGGCCACGAATATGCAACTAAAATGTCGAATATTTTTGTTATCGCTGTTGTTGAAAACTGCCAGAATATACGTTCACATACGTAAAAACACCTAGCAGTGGGTCACGATTAGTTTCAAAGCACGAACTAGTCAACCGCAAATGTCGCTCAAACCCATAAAATTGAGTTTGGTTTGCAGTAATTATTTACAAAAATGCCAAAAGCTTGATTGTGGATTCCGATATATTTAAAATTTCCATTAAACAAGGCGGAATTGTTTCATTATTATGCTCATTTAGCCCATTTCACACAGTTTCATTATAAGTTTAACTTGCAAGTAGGAACTAAAATAACGGCTCCGCCCTCGCCCCAAATCCGTTGTCCCAAGAAATAGAGGGCTCCGGTATGTCCCAATGAACTATTTGTGTTATTGTTTTTTTTTCATCCAAATTAAGTTATTGTTTTGGAGCGTTTGAACTGTGTCTATCACTTCAGCGACAAATTTCACTATAAGCTAAAATTCAATACTCGTAATTTTCAATCCTTCTGCACAAAAATCTTACGCACTCACTGCCCATGAAGTAATCCATTATTACCACAATATGACACTTTGTTCACCTAACCGATAAATCGAACGCATGTTTACATACGAAGAAACCCCAAGACAATATTATACAATTGTACAAATACACCGATGTGATAAGTAATCATTTCAACAACTCTTTGAAGGCGAGTCTAGAGTATAAAACCTTGCCTCTTGTCCAATTTTTTTTGCATAATATCAACATTGACACATTTACACTATTATTGATAACTTTGAGTATTAATTCTTAGTTGTTGGCTTTTAATTTGATGTGGAATATGTTCTTGTTGAGGCAATAAACAAATTAAATAATGTTCTCACATTGTTTTTGTTTATACAGATCAACGCCTGTTACAGCTCCCAATGCAGAAGCTTCCGCTGTGCGTGTGTTGGATGAAACCAAGAAGGCTGCTTCGGGCACTTCTACACCTCCGACAGTTTCGCAGCTCACAGTAACTGTAGCTAAAGGTATGCATATTTTTATCGCGATGTTTAACAGAACTGTGCATATGTGTATACCCTTGAGTTGCGAGGATTGGAAATAATATTTTTGTCTTTAACAGTCACTTCTGCCCCAGTCACAATGTTACCGCCTGGAGTGGTTCCACCTACTCAAGCTACGATGATTGATCCGCGCTTGCAAAGGTTTGTTGATATGTTCTCAAATTCAAGACACTCCTTTCACTCCTGATCAAGACACTTGATCTAAGTTTTTATTGATTCAGACAATCGTCATGAAGTTAGTGAACAACTTCTACATGCAAAAAAATTTCCATTAACAATATAAGCATAAGTACAGAATTAGAAAAGATAGCGCACCCAAAGTCCTTGGTCGCTTTCAACAAATATTATACACAAGATAATATTATTAGTTATATAAAAATTATATTGCAAATTATGCGTTGTCATAGAGCTGTTGCCTTTCTTGTATCTGTTTAAATTCTATGCAGGTACAAGATAAGTGTATTGCAATAAAAACTACATAATTTCCTTTTCTTTATTTTTGCTTCCAGTCTCCAAGTTTTCGCTGCTTTTCTTCTAAAATCTTTGTTCTAGCCGTTATAACTTTGCTAATACACATTTTACCCAAAACAAATTTGGGAGTTTTTAAATCAATTTTTGAGATCTATCAGCATTAATAAAAACCCAAAACAAGTCATGTGCAGTTTACACTTTCACATTAGTTTACTTTGATGAAGATAGTATTAGAAGAGTGAACCTGCCCTTTGAAATTTACCAGGTCTGAAGGCATTCTCCCATCCATGGCAGTCCCCTTGCATGTAGCTACACCTCTTCATCGACCAACCTTCGTAGTGCCTGCTCCTTCCTTCCATCATACATCGCTGGTACATCCAACGGTTCCTGCTATTCCAACACCGTTCGGTCACCATATCGCTCATTCAGCCATGTTGCCCCCAACCAGACATCCTTTTGCTAATCTTAATGCTGGCATGATGAATGAAGAGGAGTTCTATCGTGCAAAGCAAAAACTACAAGAAAGGTTAGTTATCGCGTAGAGATTATACAATTGCGTTCACCCAGTTTAAAAAATAGAGTTGTATTAAATTACTTGGAGTGGAAAAGGGGTCTGGACACCGGTATCAAAAACATGGATGCCACAAGGAAACTTTGGGTGAAAAACTTCCGCTTGAAAAATTATTTTTATCATTCACTCCCCTGTTGCTGGTGGCTGAACTTAAATTGAGTACTAGACAACTGACTGAGTATTGCATGTAAACTGTAAAAGAGAATTTTTGGGGGGGTTGGTGGTCAAGTTCTTTTTATTACAAAACGCTGCTGCGAAAGTTTTTGTTTTGTTTATCGAATCAGTGCAAAATTGCGGAGTTGATGGACACGTATTCGTACGACGAAAAAGGTAATGACTTATGAGTTTTGTTGATTTTTGGCTTTGTTTGCTGAATCCCGATAGCTCATTATATGACAGTCGTGTCGTCTACTTTCTTGTTCAGCCATCTAGATTCTAGGCTCAACTTTCTTTATTTTTGCCGAGAATTTTTGCACCTAAATAACTAGCTTGATATTTTCCAATTACATTACTATGCAGTTTTTTACTATACGGCAAGTAAAGGTAATGGGGATATGTTTTTATAAGTTTTGTGTTGTATAAATTGTTGACAAACCATAAAAAATGAAAATAAAGGATTTATTACACGATTCATTGAGTTTTCGTTTTGTATTTTTTCTTTGTTACAGGACTACAAATTTTACTAATATAATAACCTCAACACAAATTGTTTTGTTTTGATTGTCATGTTAATTTGTTATCAAACAAAACGAGCTTCTGCTACTTTTTTGCCTGCTAAAGAAAGTTTTGAAATAAAGGAGAGTGGTGGTGAAAATCATTGATAAAACACGAAATATAAACCATCGACTATAAGCATCAACTGTAATGATAAAAGATAAATTAAAATAAGAAAAATATTAAAGAAAATGAAGTGAAAAAAGCGATTGCAAAAAAGCGAAAAAGTAACTGTAAAAAAGCGACGGCACTGAATTGTTAAGCAATAAGTACATTCATAAAAATTATATTCTTTCTTTCTTATAGGTGCATTGAAAACTTTTTATTTGCTGCACTATTTTGGCACCTAGGTACCGCACAATATTTTGGCATTTTAGAAAGAAAGTTTTGAAAAGACTTGCTGTTACGAGTTACGACGGCGCAATAAGAATATGAAATTTAAAAATATTCCGGGGGAGTTCAAAACTTTTCATTGAATGAGGCAACATAATTTTTCACCCAAAATTTGCTGTATTTGGTATGACGGCATCCATGTTCTTGATACCCGGCCGCTCGTTAATGAAATATAGTAATTTGGATGTGGATTTCCCGTCCGAGTAATTAGTATACAGTGGTTTAAACTAGGTGCAGGGAAATTGCAGACTGTAAACTGCAATTTTGAAGTTTACTGCAAACTTAAATTTTTTAAATTTTTGCGACCAGGGTTTTTAATTTTTTACTTTTATCTCTTTCACTTGAAAAAACTCGAAGGCCTTCCATTTTAAATTCAAAAATGGCAGTAAAGTCGTCGCTATACACGTTTTTAGTTTTTGAACATTTCAAATAGTTAGGTGATGTTGTTAATCCTTATCGCTTCCTTATACAGAGGGTGTAAAAAAGTGAACTACTTAAAAATTCTTATTAGACATAAATTTAGCCTAATATGTTTTGGATTTTTGATTGTGTGTGTACTTTCGCATCCCAACTTTAATCAAACACTTACAACGAACAGAAAAATCAACCTCGAAAAATGAGAGAGCTGTTTGCGGAAACTTTATTTTGAAGGGCTTATGTCTAGCAGGAATGAGCTGTTGAAACTCAATTTTTATTTCACTGGAGTATGGAAACTTCAGAGAAATTAGCGAAGAATAAGCTAAACCTGTAGATGCGTAAACTTAAGTTATTTGTTATTTAAACTAGCAGTTTGCATGACCTCTTTCATGAACGAATAGTTGCATGCGTAAATGTTGCTGCTGCTCCCCTTGTGTGATTAGCGTAACTTTTCACCAAACTAAAGAATTTAAAAAGAGAAATAACTCTGAATCTTTAACTTTGCGTGATGCATGAAGTCATTTGTGCACAAAAATAGCCTCGTAAGCCTTGTATAGGTAATAGAATAGTTTCGAGTGTAATTTAAAGAAAATATGCACGAGTCGGTTTTTCAAAGACTATCAAATAGCACGAGTCCGAAGGACGAGTACTTTTAAAAAAAGTTTGCACTGAACATTTAAACGGTTACTGTGTTTGCATTGCCGAAGGCGAGTGTTTTGCAACGCTTTTCTTAACTCGAGAAACATTTCCAAGTGTTTGGATCATCTCATTTAAACACTTGAAACCGTCCAGTAAATGTTTTTGTAAAATAACAACTCGAGAATAGTGTTGTAAGCTTAATTCGAGTGAGCGGAAATGTGAAAGCTAAATTCTCCCAACGCATTTAATAGGCCAGACAAGTACTTCAAGTCAATTTAGGCAAATAATCGTCTCTGTTTTCAGGCCTGCTGAAAATTGTCACGACAGCATTGTTACTTTCTATGTTTGGATTGCGTGATCCAAACACAGGCATCGACTAATCAGAGCACGCGTTTTGCTTATGCTACTTTGTAATGGTATTTCCCTTTTTTTGCATTTGTATTTCCTATTTTTTGCACATCTCAAAACAGAAAAAGAGAATTTTTCGTGTGTGTTATTACATAAATTGATTTTTAATTCTTTATTTCTGCCTGAACAACCCCTCAAAATGTGCTTTTTTAACACTTTTACTCAAGTTTTCAAGGTTGAGTTTTCTGCTGTTTTTTAGTGTTTACTAGCACAAATGTACGAAATAATTGATTAAATTTATAGTCTACTTCGCATTTCAAAATTGTCCTCTTATTTGTTTTGTAAGCAAGAAGGATAAATGTCTTTAATGTGAGAACTTCCTGATAGCGTAGGGATTATTGTATGTGGAACTCACATCCTAATTTTTTTCATTATGAAAATCTGAGCTATTTAAAAAGCAAACAAACGCAAGAATTTTTTCATTCGGTTTAATTTACGCTTTTTATGGACTTACAAAGTTAGTAAAGTACGTAATAATCAATTGTCATTTTGTCCCACGACCGTGAAACTGGGTCCTGGGGAAGACATGCATTCTGACGTCACGAGGTGAACTCTCTTGTTCTAAGTATTAAAGATGTGTCTTTGGTTCACATGAAACAAGCGACTATACACAAAAAGCCTCTTCGTTGCCTCTACTTAAACGATATTGTTCACCTCGTGACGTTATGCGTTCTTCTCTCGTCAGTCTCACGATTTTCCGTCGTGGGAAAAATGTGTACTAACTTTGCAAGTTTATTAAAAAGTGATATTTTATTCGAATAAAAAAATTCTTCAACTTTCGTATTCCATAAAAAGTGCAAATTTTTGTAATGAAAAATAAAATTAGAGTGTGAGTTCCACTTTCAGTAAAGTAACCCCTCATGACGTGTTGTCAAATATATGCAACTTCTGTTTGCTGTGACATTGTTATTTATATTGTTTTTTTCTTTGCCGTGATAGACGAAAACGACGTAAAGATGGTGGCGATAGAAAAAGTCGAACGAAGAGGGATCGCAGCCCGCGAAGTCCAAGAGATCGACGTGGTTCACTGGGCTCACGGCGATCACCTTTTGACCGAAAGCGGTCACCTTCTTGGTCTTCATCTAGATCTAGCTCACGTTCGTCGAGGTCGCAATCATGGTCGAAATCTCCGTCGCGTTCTTATAGTTGCTCAAAATCGCGCACACCAATAAACTGGGAGCGGTCACGTTCTCCGTCGCTCGAACGAAAACACGGTAGACATGAGGACGACAGAAAACGACGTCATGCACACGATTCCAGGAAACAAACTAAACATGATCAGTCTCATATTTCTGAGAAAGCTGTTGTGAAGTCGAAAGACAAATCAAGGATTTCCAATCCTGACACGATGAAAAACAAATCGCAAAAGTCATTAAAGAAAACAACCGAATCTTCTCGCAAAGAAGCAGTTAAAAAGCGGAAAGTTTCACGCTATGAAGAAGATCATAAAGATCTGAAACGTAAAAAGCGCAAACACAAAAGGAAACATCGCAAACATAAGCATAAGAAGAAGTCAAAGAGAAAAACAAGAAGGCCTGAAACAAGTGACGAGTCAGAAGATGATTCCGATCGAGAATGCGATTATAGTGACAGTGAAAAGAATGAAGATGATTCATTTAAATTATTTTCTGCATTTTCTCTGCCATCGTACGTATCACAAGGAACCTTGTATTAAAAATTTTAGTGCGGATATTCTATAAAGTGATCAGCCATGTGTCTTTTGTATGTCGTGTGTTTTGTATCTTTATTGGGTTTTTTTCAAACAGAATGGCGTTTTCATAGTGTCTTGAAATAGCTTGCGAAGTGCTATTTCATGTATTCTTCCTTGCCCTCGTCTTGCTCCAGATTCTGACGTGTCGTGTACAAGCGATTAATCTGGAAAATTGAAACAGTAATACCATTTTCATTGACGGGGTAGGTTATTTGTGAATATGTAATGAGGAGTATTAAAATTTTTGTACAATGTTTTTCTTCATGAGAGTAATACATATTTTGTATATCCTAAATTTGTGTCTAACCTGATGCATGTTACGGGAAGTTGCGTAGCTACCTATTTTTGGAGGTATGTGCCAGGGGCGGATCTAGAGCATTGAGTTCTATAATAACTGGAGCGGTTATCTCAAGCGCGGCCTTAGATATCTGATGATGCCAAAAAAATGGCGGATTTCGTCCTTTGCCGCTGAGATTTACCGAAATTGACCGCTTTTCCGAATATTTCCAATTTCCCACTCCCTCCTGAGAAAAGAGTGAGGAAAATGTATGTGTGTATTTGGGATTCGGCAAGCAATTTTTTGATGAAAATCAAGGTAAAAACCTTAAATTCATAACAGCGAGTCAACTGTGGTTGTCAGTTATCTGCTCCTACGAGGATGCATTTATAACTATCGACGAAAGAGTTATATATCAGCTACACATGTATGAATGCAGATGTGCGTCGTTTTCTTACCAGCGTCAAACTTGTTTGATCGATTTAACTCTTTAGTCTATACAAAAAAGTATATCATTGTTCATCTCCACGGTTCACGAGAGAGAAGTTAGCTTATTTTTTATCATTGCTATTTTGCTTCTTTTCATGCAATGGGCAATGGCTTTTTTCGCCACAATTGTAGGATTTTTACTTGTTTCTTTAAAAAAGTACATATTAAATCTCTGGATATTTACGGATTTTCTGTAATTGAGTTTCATATGAAATTTCAAAAAGACTCAAGTCTGCATAGGTTTGGTAAATGAAAACAAACAATATTGTATAGAAATTACTTTAAGTAAGAGGCCATCATATACTTGTAAAGTTGTAGCACATTTTGAGTTTGTTGTATTGATATATGAATTGGGCAAAATGCAAATAATCATCAAAACACTTATGCTTCCAATGGTGTTTATAATTCATTTGTAGTTTTAATACTTCTACCTTTCTTTTTCACTTTGTTTTGTTTTTCCTATATTTGCAATAAAAGTGCACTATAATTTGAATGATTAACACAGTTTTCACCTCAATAATAAATTTCATAAGCAGTTGGTAGTGCATTTTGTTCTCTGAGTATCCACATCTGGTGTTTTGTTCATACAAGAATGATGAAGTGCAAGTAGATATGTCATAGCAAGGCAATAAAACCAAGTGAATTACATACCTGTAGCGTACTCTTATGCTAGAAGCTTAAAAGCTTTTTAGAAATTAGAAAGTTATTGGATTATATTACCTCTATATCATCAATCTCATGATAAGAAATAAGAAGCAAAAAATTTGTAGAAAAGCTTTGAAAAGTGAAAAACTTTTCTTTAAAAAAGCAGCAATAATGCATATGATAAATCTCCATTCTGTACTCTAATAGGTATATAAGCTCAAATTTTTCTTAAAGAAATATAAGAAATATATAAGAAATATAGAGTACAGTAACTTTAAAGGTTTCATCACTGAATCTTTAATGCTTCAGTATAGTGCATTAGATATTAGTAACATTCAAACAACACTCAACTAAGATATTTTGATAAAGATATGACATGATTTAAACATTAAGTTACATAAAACCCAATGGCTTATACAGTTTAAAGCTTCACATCTGCATCGAGTCATCATCAATCTCAGTACAAATGTTTACATAGACACAAACTTTATGGCCTTCCATTTTACATGTTTGTGAATTGACATTTCATTAAGCATCAAAACACACAAAACCTTCTTGCCATCTTTCTTTGGATCATGAACTTTAACTTCAAAGCATTCAAGGCATCCTTAGTGAATCCATTGTCTCCATCCATAGAATTTGACCACGATCAAATTAAATAACTCTGGATAGGGCAGACAATAAATCAATTATCTTTACAGCATTATCATTTTTTAAGACTCTGCCTGCTCAATAAAATCTTCCAGTCATCTTTACTCCTTGATCTTCCCTGCATGTTGTCAGAAAGAGAACTTAACAAGCTCTACATTTATCACTAATCATTATCAGTTATCATTACTTGTTGCCTGCCTTTGGTACGATGACTACATCGTGACCATTTCTTTGCTATGTCTACGTATACGTCCTATATGGCATGCCTGAAAAGCTGAGTGGCCTATTTACATACCGTGTGGATGGTACGAGAATATACGCCAGTATTTATTCTACAATGTATTACAATAATCACTAAATTTATAGTTAAAGAAAAATAAAAAATAAACGCTTACCTCATCTATTCGTTATGATTATGTAAGTTTTCATTATGCAAATTTTTTTGCATACTATATCCATAATGAGATTTCGCCATTTCGCCTTTTATTCGTTGCAAATAAATGGGTAAATTTACGATTTCATGCATTAACAAATGACAGAAAAGTATGCAGAATTTTATACACAAAAACAGGAAAACATCAGTATATTTGGCGTTCAAGTCAGTCTTAAAAAATACGATCTTTAATATGTATTTTATGGCTTTTCAAGTGCATGTATAATTGATTTTCAATCGTTGACGGACTAACAAAACAAACAACTACCTCACCTGTGAGAAGCGATATGTTCCTTTTTGTGGAAACTACGACATCCAATAATTGAACGATTGAAGTGTTGGCATTATAAAAGAAATGCCAAAAAAGAATCGTCACAGAATATGGAACTAACGATATCCATATTCTGTGATATCGTGTTTGTTTTTGAAAAATTCTTTACAATTTACTATAAAAAACCAGGGGAGGTCGAGAATATTATTTTTCTGCAAAGCGATCATTTCAGCGGAAATACGTCCTTTGGCCGCCATTTTTTTGGCATCCTCGCCCCAGTAAAGTTAGCCGCTCTAGTTATTATAGAACTCAATGATCTAGAGTATGTCAAATCCGTCGCGCGACTGATGTTTGAAATTCAAAAATTACCTATTCATATTAATTAAAAATTCATTAATTATTCTTACTTTATTATCGCATTTACTTCGTGATAAAAATCCAGCTTTATTTATTATTGAAAACTAATGACTAATCCAATGAATATCTCGTTGGTAACCAGATCAGTTGAATTTTAATTGACCTGGAATAACCTACTGATAAGCGTGGTGGCTTGACTGGTTCGACGGATAAAGGAGTCTATGAACGCCAAAAACGCTTATTTTATTGGTCAATGGCCAGATCAGTGGACAGTCTGGAATGGTCTCGACTGATACGAGGGGTGGCCGGACGTATAAGGGAGTCCACCAATTGCTATCTTACAATTGAACACCTCATGTAGAGATGTAAAGGTGTGTTAATCTACGGCTCATACTAGATTGTTTGCCATAAATTCCACAGGGCTATTGATGTATGAAAAGCATTTTCTATAAAGTAAAAATGTCTTTCTATGTATGCAGATAAACCTTGAAATTTGGCAAAACAGCAAAGTATTTTTCATGATCACTAGGTAATTTTTCTGGTTTCTGATCATTATAATTTCTAAACTAAATTATTTCAGTTTTACATTTAAACGAGCTTTGATCATATGAAAAGATATTTATCTTAACCAGTAAGCATGACACATGAACCAATTTTTATTATTCATGTAATTATATAATTAAAGACATGTTGGTTACATTCTGTTTGTATTTGCAAATACAATGCTACTAGTGATTGCTATATTGCACACTTCGCATATACTTTCAGAAGATAATAGTCTGGTGAAATGCCTAATAAACATTTATGGCATTAAGCTGTCCTTAACTGCCAATTTTACTCTGATAATTTTTGCAGAAAAAAATTTTGAGTTTTTTGTCAAAAAGTGAATTTGCTGGCACTGATGTGGAGATGGGTAAAGGGTTACAATAAACTTGCATGGTTTGAAGTCTGAGCTTTTCTATATCTATGAACTGTCACTTGTAGTACCAAATTTCTTATTTAACTCATTATATTGAGGTTTGAATGGGGAACTCTAGGGGGGTCTATGCCTGACAACTTGGTAGAAATTTTTAAAGACTATATCTGTTTCTGAATAGCATTATTGTAAAATAAATTTTACGTTCCTAGACATGCTAATGAGCCATATATTTGGCATGATAATGAGCCTAAATATTTGGCAAAGCATTCAAGTATTGTTCACTTCATTTTTTTTTTGAAAAAAACGTAAGCAAAATGTGTTGTTTTTACGCAAAAACGATGCCCACAAAATACGTTTTGTATTGCTCTAAAACGCTGAAAATGGCATTTTCAAGGCTCTGAAATTCAAAATTTCTCAGGGGAGAATGCCTCAGATCCCCCAGGTGCGGAGCGCCTCCGACGTTTTATGACTGATGTTTGAAAAATCCTAGATCCGCCCCTGGTATGTGCCTGGCTTGTATATGTAATAGCATGGTTTCGAGTGCAATTTGGAGAAAACATGCCCTAGTGACTTTTTCAAAGACTTCAAATTGCACGAGTTCAATTTGAACTCTTTGAAAAACTCACGAGTGTATGTTCTTCTCAAATTGCACGAGAAACCATGCTATTACTTATTAATAATATACATGAAAAAATTTCTCAATTCTGTTGATATTTAACTTTAGCGTACGTACATTTCAGCCGGCTAGTTATTAATATCAACCGGCTCGTATATTTCAATTCTGTCGTATATTACTTTTCACAACACCATAGCTTCCACACACACCGCAAGAACAAGGTTTATACTTTTAGCAGTGTTCATATTTGTATCCAGAAACATCTTTAAAACGGCGAACTTCAAACTCGTTCGCCAAAGAAAATCT